TATATATATATATATGCCCTAGAAATCTTCATTCCGATTGCAGATACATCGCAGAGTCTATTGCTAAAGCTTATTGCTTCGTACATGACAGCAGTAGAAAGGGTAAAGAATATGATAATTGAATATAATACAAAACGATGGCTGACCTGTTCGTACCGCCGCTGCAGTATTCATAAAGCTTGCCACTGGAGGAGAAGACGACGACGGCGACAGCAGCGTCGCAGAGAACGGAAAGCCGCTGCGCTTTCTTGTTTAACCCTGATCTCCGCTTTGAAAACGTCACTTGTCTTCTACTCTTGTCTTCAATTCGCTTCATCTCCAACTTTCTCCGCCCCATCGTACCCCTAGATCTCCTCCAGACCAAACTTTTTCAGTTCCGATATGTATCGCCCACTTGATTTCTATGCGTTATCTACTTATCTACAATCATATATATATATATATATATATATATATATATATATATATATATATATATATATATATATATGCTTTGACGGAAGGGCGTCTCGTCATTGAAAGCCGAATACCCCTCGGTCTACACCTGTTCCTTGAAGAAGAAAAAAGAAAAAGAAAACAAAAAAGGTTTAGGGTACTATTCGGTCGGATGTTCTGGACATCTCGCATTTGACGGCAGTTTTCTTTACCATTCCTATTATCCTTTTAATCTTTTATAGTAAATTTTAGTACTATAGGGTAAATTACAGATACGGTCCCTGTGGTTATATTATTTTCTGAATCAAGTCCATTTTTTTCAATGGTTTCGTCCCTGTGATTTTATTTTATTTCAGTTTTGGTCCCTAGCAAACATGAAAAGACTTAATTTCCCTTATCACATTTTGTATTTATACTTTTTTCTTTTTAATTATCATTTTATATATTTTTAAATGAATGGCCCACCACCCAACCCAACCCAACCCCACCCTCATCTCTCGGTTTCTCCTCTGTTTCACTATTGTCTACCGAACATCACTATCGGCAGTTATTTTCTAATCTCTCGGTTTCTCCTCCGTTTCTCTATTTTTATATCCCTAAAACCATACATTGATTTACCATCTCTTGAATTTGTTTTTGCAACCAAAGCCTTCTCTAATCTCCATTCATTTATTTGACTCCAACACCTTCTCTACGTCCTTTATTTCGATTTCTATCTACAACGACATACATTCATTTACCTATTCTTAAACTTGCGTCTGCAACCAAAGAACGAATATGATTATTTACATGTTCTTAAATCGAATTTTAGCCAACGCATCCGAAGAATTGCTAATCGGTTCTCAAAGGAAAGTTTGCAACCAATGGTGCCACTTCCTTTCGCTTCTATCCCTTGCCACTGTCACAGCATAGCCACCGACACCGGTGTCAGTACCTTGCGCTTATGTCCATCTCCCAATATTCTCCTTTCTTCCAAAATCGATCTCGAACTTCTTTCCTTTTCCTGATCCCGATCTCGATTTCTCATTTTCTCTCCCAACCGCTAACCACCACCCACCCTGGTTTATGGAAGTGGAGATTAGAGAATATGACAATGATTAGAGTCATAAATGTGGGGAACAAGGGCTACAAGTTTAACATCGAGGGAATAAAGGGGAGGGGTAGTCGTGGGGTTGGATGAGGGGTCCATATGATTTAATAAAAAATAATAACATATAATTCATAAAGGAAATTACAAACTAGTATAAGGATAGTCTTTTTAAGTCGGTTAGGGACAAATATTGTTACAAAATAAAAGCACATAGTTGATGAGTGTTACAATTGAAAAAACTGGACTTGAAAAAAAAAAACATATAACCACAAGGACCATTTTTGTAATTTACTCTTAATATAATGAAAAGCATAAAAACTATCCACAATAAAATCATCCAACGAGTTGCAAGAGCTTTTTAAACTAAAAACTTCTCGAAAAAAAAAATACTATAAGATAAGCTTTTTCAAATCAAAACTTTCATGTTATTTGTTAATTAAAATGATTTTTGCTTTAATTTTTTCAATGATTGTGTAGGTCCCATATTACAGGAGATTCTATGAATTTTTTTTCATGAAAAACTCCATTAAAAAGTTGTCGATGCTCTAGGTGGTCTTTTTCATCAACTTATTTATATCATTTTACTTTACTTTTATTTGTTTAAGTTGTCTATTCACAATTGACTGAAAACTTATGGACTCATCACAATCATGGAAAAACTGATGTCAAAAACATTACAAGTCATTAAAAAAATGGATTAAATAAGTTTCTATAGTAGCTTTTTTAACTTTTAAAGGTTTATTTGATCCAATAAGCTCTTGAAAAAGGTCCTATAGTTGATGCTTTAATACCATCAAGACAATGACTGTATGATATCAAGTCAACCCCTTCGCCAATGAGAAAAAAAAAAAAAGACTTTAAACCCCTTTGTTATATCTCATTAGATTCATCAACAATATTCCAAACACAAAAACTATAATGATCAAAACATACACTTCTGGTTTGAATTACACATTCTACACTACAATCAAAGTTCCAACATCTTTCAAATTCTTTTTCCTATATAACCTTTGAAAACAAACCATTCATTGATATAGATAGATTAAAAAACACATCATAATACTTTCTTAATTTCCATAATAAGCATGAGATCAACACAATATCATGCTATTGCTATAAGATAGATTAAAATTTATTAGTGTGAAATTTGTTCATTGAGGAAGCCAGTTTTTCCACCATGGGGATGTTGGAAGTATTCCTGAAGGTGGAGGGGTAAGAATGTCCAGCATTGTTTCTTTCTCTCTAGGGGTTAATGGGACACCTCTTGTTAAATTTAAAGCCAGTAAATGAACATTAGTACGTTGCCTATGCCTACCATATGCCCATATTCCTCCAGCTGCTCCAGCAATCAGAAGCTGTAAAAA